CTTGTAAAAACATGTTGAGATACTGCTGTACGTAGATGTCTTAATTAAACAGGAACGCACATTTTTTAGCATAACTGTTCCGTTATCGCGTAGTACGCTCAAACCATGGTTGAACTACGTTCAAATTTCTCGATCAGTAAATTTCGACTACCACATGCACAAATTAAACTCCAATCGATCATGTTGAACCAGATCCCGACCAGTTCAATTATGGCGTTTATCTATAAGAACGTTAACTTTTTACTTTAATATTGTTGAATCTGATGATCACCTCTGCTTAGATGGTGGAAACTAAAGTCAGGTTATCACCGACCAAAGTCCTTAGCAGAATTACCCATTCCAACGATTACACAGCACACCCAGTTATAACTCTCAGGTTTAAACAACACTCGAATATTATGAAGTGTAAGTGGACAACTATGCCGTCTAAGCTGATTTTCAAAGCTTATTCCGTGAACTCGAAAGGCTCGTGACAAGCGCGGAATTGCTAGTAAATGGCCTTCTTTCCTTTAAAATGTACATATATTTGACAGATCGATAGACAGCCCAAATGATATTCCGTTTCTGTGATTTCAAGTATGTTTTGATCCCTCAAAATAATTTATACCTTGCATAGCGTCTCCACTCCAAATTTCATCAGGCATTTGATTAATAAGAGTAAAACGTTTCTACTAGAAGTCCACCAGACACGATTGACTTTCAACATATTAAGCGCTCTTATAGGTTAGGTATACACCGCATTCAAAACAAATCAACTTCAGAAAATATGCAAACGCAACTTGTCTCAAATGATTATTTACATAATCACTCAGCCGAGCGAAAAGTTGCTGGTACTCAGTAAAAAGATGGATTGAAGGGGAACCACTTCTTTCTTGTGGGGCTAGTTGGGTGAGTGGATATTCTCAGGTGTTTTACTATCTACTGAAATGACCCGGTGTACTTTCTACTCTGATTTGCCTCAAATAATCACAAAAGGCATAGAATAGAAGAAGAGAAAGTGTATTATTGTTTTTCAGTTTCCCGAGTAGTTTCTAAATGATAGTCCTTTCTCCTTTAACAGGAGCTGATTCAAGTGACAAGGAGAGAGAGAAAGAGAAGCATCATTTCTCTGAGCCGTGGGAAGACAGTGATGTGATTCTTGTGGTGGAGGATGAAAAGTTTCATGTCCATCGTCTGATACTGAGTATGAACTCACCAGTGTTCGAGGCCATTTTCAAATCTGAATTTACCGAGGCAACCGCTGACGAGATTCCACTTCCTGGGAAAAAATCTAATGGAGTGTTAGACTTTCTAATGAAAATCTATGGACCCCAGTACACAAAAAGGGATGTGGAAATCACACGTAAGAATTACTGTCATTAGTGTATACGTCATATTATTTTTACGTATGATGCACGATCCTCGCAGTAGATAGCGCTATTTATGCAATAGCGAAAATCAGACCTGAAAAAAATCAGGCCTGTACGGGACTCGAACCACTGACCTTTGCGATACTAGTGCAGCGCTCTACCAATTGAGCTAACAAGCCAACTGGGAGCAGGCCGTTAAGTTGATTCGTAATAAACCCGTGAAAGTGATAAATGAGATGCAATGAATATATGAAGTTCATATATTTTGAACTGCGGTATTAGATACGTATGATGCACGATCCTCGCAGTAGATAGCGCTATTTATGCAATAGCGAAAATCAGACCTGAAAAAAATCAGGCCTGTACGGGACTCGAACCACTGACCTTTGCGATACTAGTGCAGCGCTCTACCAATTGAGCTAACAAGCCAACTGGGAGCAGGCCGTTAAGTTGATTCGTAATAAACCCGTGAAAGTGATAAATGAGATGCAATGAATATATGAAGTTCATATATTTTGAACTGCGGTATTAGATACGTATGATGCACGATCCTCGCAGTAGATAGCGCTATTTATGCAATAGCGAAAATCAGACCTGAAAAAAATCAGGCCTGTACGGGACTCGAACCACTGACCT